GATCAGCTATGGCCGCATCTTTCTTTACAAGGTCATCAATTCAGTGGCTGCGCCAGCTCAAGCAACATGTCCCTGCTTCCAATATCAGGGCACACCAGGACATTGCTAAGCTCCCCGCCGCAGCTGAGTTTTCGGCAGACGCCACATACCACGCAGTCAAATTTCCTGCTAGGGCAATTACATTGCACATCCAAGCCCGCCGTCTGCTATGGCTCAGGCACTGGCAGGCGGATTTTAAGAACAAAGCCAAGCTGGCCTCCTCTCCCATAGTGGGGGACAAACTGTTTGGCCCATCCCTGGACCCCTTACTGATGGAAACCCGGAACAAAAAGAAATTCCTCCTTCCCTCACCCGAAGGTCAGACTTCAGGTCGTTGCAGCCCTTTCAGAGGGGCTCCTTTCGGCCCTCCTATCAGGCCCCCTTCTCTCCCAGATATCAGAGGCCTCCCTCGTTCAGATCGGGTCAATCCCAGGATAGACTCGATTCGCGGGAAAGGAGCAGGAGGGGCAACCAATATAAAGACCTTTTCAGGGATCTGGAAGTAGGCCCTTCCGCCATCCGAGATAGGTTAAGGGACTCTCTTCCCATTGGTGGGCGTCTAAAGTCGTTCGCTAGTCAATGGGACTTTTCTACCTCTTACTCTTGGGTCAGGGATACCATTAGATTTGGCCTCGCCCTTGAGTTCCATTCCACTCCCCCAAACTTCTTTATGTCATCCTCCTTCCCCAGAGACCCGGTCAAACGCAACCTAATGGATTCCGCCATCCAGCATCTCCTTAGTATATTTGCCATACAACCTGTTCAGCCCGACCAACGAGGACGGGGCTTTTATTCTCACCTCTTCGTTGTCCCAAAACACTCGGGCGGATGGAGGGCTATCTTAGATCTAAAGCGACTTAATCGCTTTTTAACTTACCGCAAGTTCAAAATGCATGCCCTACAATCTATCCTGCTGGGTATCAGGCAAGGGGACGTTCTCACATCCATAGACTTGACAGAAGCATACCTACATATTGCCATTCGGCCTTCCCATACCAAATTCCTAAGATTCTGCTACAATAACACTTTGAGTACATGGCCCTTCCCTTTGGACTGGCCTCTGCCCCCAGGACTTTTACCAAGGTTCTGGCAGCACTGGCTGCCCATATCAGAAATACCCCCATCCGTCTCCAGTGTTATCTAGACGATATTTTGATTCAGTCCCCATCTATCGATCAAGCAGCGAAAGACACCCAGACCACCTTGACTTCCCTTCAAGAACATGAGTTTCTCATAAATTGGAAGAAGAGCCAATTATCTCCTTCTACCCAAATAACCCATCTGGGGGCAATTATCAACACAGTGGAAGGCAAGGTCTACCTTTCTTCAGAAAGGCTCCTTAGTATTCAGAAATTGGTTAGGGAGATCAGGCACCGCAGGAGGGTGGCCTTATTGGAATTGTCAAAACTATTGGGAAAAATGATTTCGTGCATTTCTATTGTTCCCTGGGCCCGCCTTCACACCAGATCCCTCCAGTGGTTCCTGCTCCCATACCAGAGATCTGGCAGAAGCAATTCCAAGCTCCTGGTCAGGGTTCCTCTCAAGGTCCTCACGTCCCTCCTCTGGTGGGCAAGACCAGCCATCAACAAGGGCTGTTTCTTCAAGGAACCTCAAAGGCTGACTATCACCATAGACGCCAGTCTATACGGATGGGGCGCCCACTTCCAGTCACTCACATCCCAGGGCAGATGGACTGCAATAGAACAATTGTGCAGTATAAATTGGTTGGAGCTTCACGCCGTTCTCCTGCCCTGCGCAGTTTCCTCCCCCAGGTACGTGGGCAACACATTCTCATTTTGACAGAGCCAAAGCGTGACAGCCAAAGCCCACATCAACAAACAAGGGGGCACACAATCAATCCAGCTAATGAGGGAAGCCAAGCGCCTCTGTCGCTGGGCAGAGATCAACCTTCTGTCCATCAAGGCAGAGCACATATCGGGGCTATCAAATACTCAAGCAGACTGGTTAAGCAGGGCCACCATAGACCAGTCAGAGTGGCGCCTCCACCCATCCCTGTTCAAGGAAGCAACAAGGATATTCGGGCAACCGGTGATAGACCTGTTCGCCTCCTTCCTCAATACCCAGCTCCCGAGATTCTTTTCAAGGTACCCATCCCAAGAGCGGAGAATCACAATGCACTCTGCTGCCCATGGCCCTCGGGACTCAGGGTCATTCAGAAGCTCTCCATGAAAAGGCGGAATTGCTCCTAGTGGCACCTCACTGGCCCAGACGACCGTGGTTTACGGACCTCTGCATTCTCTCGGTGGCCCCTCCCTGGAGGATCCCACCAGACAGGATCTCCCTTTCCCAGGGTCCCCTCCGCAGTGGTTCCAACTGACCTTCTGGAGGTTGAGCGGAGAAGTTTGAGGACAGAAAAACTCTCAAACAAGGTTATTGACACCATCCTAGCTGCCAGACGACCATCAACCATTCGAATTTATAATGCCATGGGCCATTTTCTGTCCATGGTGCAGCAAGCTTCAAATTAACCCAGTTTCCCCCTCCGTAGCACAAATTTTAGAATTTCTTCAGGAGGGACTAGACAAGGGGCTGTCTCCTAATGCACTGAAACGTCAGGTAGCTGCCCTGACATCAGTCCTTTCTGGCGAGGGTCTCAGTTCCCTCTCTCACCACACACTCATCCGGGCCTTCCTTAGAGGGGCCATCCACTTACACCCCCCCGGTGCACCGCTATCCCACCTGGGACTTCAATAAAGTTCTCCTCTGGCTCACCAAAGAACCTTTCGAACCTCTGAGGGAGACAGGCCTCCAGTTCCTGACGTATAAAGTGGTTTTCCTGGTAACCATTACATCCGCTCGGCGTATCTTGGAAATAGCAGCCTTGTCGGTCAGGCAAAACCTCTGTGTCTTCCACGCAGATAGGGTGATCCTTCAACCCGATCCCACCTTTTTACCCAAGGTCAGTTTGGCTTTCTATAGAGCCCAGGAGCTCATCCTTCCAAATTTTTGTCCCAGACCATCGCAGGAAAGGGAACAACAATGGCACAAACTCGATGTAAGGTGTGCTCTGCGAATCTACATCAAACGCACAAAGCCCTTCAGGAAATCAGAGGCCCTATTCCTTTCTTTCCAACCCAGAACACAAGGGCACAGGGTGTCACTTTCTACTATAGGTCTCTGGATTAGGGCAGCCATAGCCAAATCGTATCAGTCCCAGGCTCTACAGGTCCCCAAGGGCATAACAGCCCACTCCACTAGGACTGCGGCCACTTCGGCAGCCTGGGCCACCCAGGCACCAATAATCGAAATCTGCCGGGCAGCAACTTGGGCCTCACCTTCCCCTTTCATTCGGCACTATAAAATTGACGTATTCACCTCTGCAGAGGCTTCATTTGGCAGATGGGTCCTGCAGCGGGTTCTTAGGGACCCTAAGGAGATTCTGGACCAGACGGAGTCCCTCCCTTAGGACAGGCCAAGCTTTGGTATGTCCCATTACTGGATGCTCTGAGCAGCTCATAGGAGAAGGGGCGTTGGTACTTACCTGATACGCCCGTTCTCTTTGAGCTGTGAAGAGCATCCAGCCCCACCCTGTTTTTCCGTATGGTGGGGCCTCTCTCTCTCGGCCAAGGACCAAATTTTTTTAGGTGATAGGGATGGAAGCAACCTTTTTTTCCTCTTGCCTTCGCAAAACTGGGGAACCCTGTGGAGGAGTCACGTGGAGGAGGAGGAGCGTTCCTCAATTCAAGCTCAGCCTAAGAATGCAGAGACTGAAGCACCTCCCATTACTGGATGCTCTTCGCAGCTCAAAGAGAATGGGCATATCAGGTAAGTACCAATGCCCCTTCTATTTGGATTACAGATTCTACTGCTAGGGCTATTCTGTTTAACATAAGTCTTTCTACAAGTTTGTAGGTGACACAGAGAAGAGCAATTGGCCTGTAACTTTGTGGAAGGCTTGGATCCTTCCCTGGTTTCAAAATTGCAATAATTTTGCTCTTCTTGAATATAGGAGGCAGCCATCCTGAGTATAGTATGATACTAAAAAGGAGGCAAGTCAACATTTAGTTGCTGGTCCACAGTTCTGCAATAGCTTTAGGTATATTCCATCAAATCCTGCGGCGTTATCGTTTTGTAAAGAATCCAGACCCTTCTGCATTTCTTCTGGTGTAAATGGGCGCAAGTATAAAGCATTAATATAATACAGTACATTAAATAAGGATAAATAATTGCTGAAAGTCAAAATGTAATATTCTTCCCATTCTGATTAGAATTGGAATGGAATCAGGCCAGTATCAGACCACTTTCATTCATCTTACCAGAAATCACTGGACTACGGATTCCAACTGTAAGAAATCCATGAATTAATGAAAACATTAATGAAAACATTAATGAAAACATTAACCCAGAGTTAAATAAATAAGAGATAAGATTATATTTTGTTAAGAAAGAAACATAGAGATCAGGTTTTTTTTCTTTTATATTTGTTTATATGTGTCCATTCTGTTACATTTAAATCAGATGTTTCATGGCTGGGAGATCTAATATAGTAAACTAGATACGTTAACCCTGTGGTGGCTAATCTTTTTGGCTCTTCCGGTTTCCAGTGCTCCCACGTGTGCGATGTGCTCCGAGGAGCTGCTCTTCTGGTTTCTGGCGCTCCCGTGAAAACCAGCTACACGCTGGAACCCAGAAGAGCAATGGGCAATGGCTGGCATGCCTGGAGATATGGCTCTGCATGCCACTTCCAGCACACATGGCGTAGGTTCACCATCATGGCCTTAACCTATATACAATTTATAATTCATAAAAGCTAGTCATTCTGAATAGGGGCTTACAGGAATTATAGTTTAAAGAATTTAAGGTATGTTCAGAAAAGAGTGATTGCTTTCTTTCTAAAACTATGTAAAAAGGCCTGCAAACATGTTGAAAAATATTCACTTTTATTTAAAATACAGATGAACTGAGTATTTTTTACAAAATCTTTAAATATTTTCTTACAGCTGTTGGAGAATCAGAAAGTGATATCTACATGCGATTCATGAAGTCACATAAGTGTTACGATATTGTTCCAACAAGCTCAAAGCTTGTGGTTTTTGATACTACACTACAGGTGAGTTTCCGTTTGGGAGATTCCTTTCTTTGCACCTAGTTGCCTTATGTCTGTAATAAACGAAAAGAAAAAATTATAACAAATCTTATTAGAGATGACATTAGTTCATATTTGAATATGATGGAACCCTTTTCTACTGTAAGTTGCAAGCACAAGTTCGCTGTTGGCTAGATTATAAAATAGCATAAATCTTGAGAAAGTGCAAAAATTTCTTAACCTACTTCCAGTTCAAATTCCATCAAATTGCCCAGAACAGCATGGTCTAGTAGGCAGTTCACTATCATCCAGAGGGAAACAGCACATGTTGTACACTAAGCTTTGTCTTATTTCGGTACTGATAAGCTCAATTTATGACCATTTGTTCAGCAATCATTCAGAATTATGCTAGCACTGAATGAATGGGTACTTATGACCAGTCCTTGGAGTTCTAGCCCTCCCAGCACCTCAATCACCTGTTATGGGATTGCATTTTGAGTGCTAGTAACTGGCTCACTTTTATGGTTAGCATGGTTCACAATTAGGTGATATCCATTGCAATCTTCCCTGACAGCATCCCCAGAAGCTGACAGGGAAATTTGCAAGTCCCTGGGAGAAGTCTCCCCCACCTGCACTCCCTCCCCTGTCATTATGCCTCTTCAGCAAATCTCACGAACCTCAGATAATCAGAATATGTTTGCACGTTGTACCATTGATTCCTATCCCTTTTTTTGAAAGATTTTGTAATAACCTAAGTTTGTACTATATGCTGCTGTTTGATTGTTATGAAGAGGCCCCTGCCTGCCTTGCTGAAGGGCTGTGCTGAATCTGACATTTCCCCAACATTTTGAAATGAGAGTTCCTGATAATATTTTTGTATGGCATTTGGTGAGTGAGTGAGTGAGTGAGTGTGTGTGTGTGTGTGTGTGTGTGTGTGTGAATATAAATGGTACTTATGAGTATTATCCTAAAACCAATAAAGATAAAGGTTTCCCTATCCAGTGCTCATCTCTCTTTCTTGGCCAAGGGAGCCAGCGTTGTCCCAAGACATTTTTCATGTAGCTATAAAGAATTGGGCTGTCATCTCTCTTGGATGCCATCTAGTGGTGTATTTCTCTGAAGATTTGAAGAATTGAAACTTGAGAAATCAGTTTATTGAGTTGAGTCTCAGCATATATACAGTTGCAATCATTGAAAAGAGTGGAAGCTGCCCCATAAAATCTATAATGAACTGACTTGTTTAAAAGATAATTCTGTGAGGTGAGGAAACGAACAACCAGAACTTCCCTAAAAGCAGCTGCTGGATATATAATTCCTTTTCTATAATACAATAAATAAATAAATAAATTCAAGAGCAAAGTTCTTCCAATTTATATTCATTTTGTGCATGAAAAGGCAGTCTGCGTTTTCTTGGTTTTCTGGTCAACCAGTCCATTTTAAAAGTGGGGGAGGGGCTGGGGAAGCCAGGAATCCATCTCCCTTGTAGTTAGAGTATCACTGGAGGCAAACAAGTTGAGTAGGTAGTCTTCAGCCAGTTTCAGATACAGAGTTATGGAGCTCAACAGATGGTAATCTTTCTGCTGCAGGAAACAGCTTTATGGATGATACCTTAAAATATTTTATTATGAATTTAGAAATCAGGGCCAGTGGTTAGCATTTACACTTACTTCAGGGTAAAGATGGCTTTAAAATTGACAGTAGTTCCCATCGTTTTTATTTTAGGTTGCCCAATCTGTAATTTTAATATAGGTTCAAATTGGGTAATATAAATTCCATTTTAAACTTGTCCAAAAAATGAGAAATGACCAGAGAAAACCAAGATTACAAATAATGTTGCTTGGAAACGCCATTAAATTCATTTTAACAGTGTGGTTATTGAACATTATATACTTCTCATTTGTAAGGATCCTAATTCTTCAGACAAAAATCTGATAATTTTGAAATAGACATGTAACATATGCTATTATTTTCCTTATAAAGCTTTCTTCTTGAATACTGCTTGTCATAATAAATTGCTATGGTGATAAATGAATTTTTTAGTACTGATTAACAACAAAAGTAGCTGTGGTTTTTCCCCTATTTTTTCTGAAATATATAATTTAATAGCAGATTTATTATAAAATAAGCAATTATGACTTTGAATCTTGCAGATGAGAAAGGAAGGCAAAAATTACATGATCATTTCTCCTATGAGCTGCTCAGAGCATCCAGTAGTGGGAGGTGCTTCAGTCTCTGCATTGTTAGGCTGAGCTTGAATTGAGGAACGCTCCTCCTCCTCCACGTGATTCCTCTAGTGTGTTCCCCAGTTTTAGCTCAGCCTCGTGCAAAGCAGGCAGTGCTTTAGCTTGCTCCTTGGCCGAAACACAACTTCGATTCAAAGACTTCTAATTTTGATTATCTCTTCAGGTTTGATTCGTTTATTCTCTCCTTAGCCTCTGCGCAATTCTTTCAATTTATCTAACTTGGGAAAGACGCCATTGCGCCCCCAAGGAGGGCAGCAGGAGGCTCCGTAGCAGCTTCACGCAACCTCCCCATAGCCAAAAAAGTGCCTCTGCCTCTTTAAAAGCCGCTACGTTCTGTTCTGCTTTTCTGGCAATCTCGCTGTTCTAGCAGCTGGTATTTTATCGTTGAAAGTCGTATCTCTGTTTCCCCCCCACCTCAAATGCCGTTTTTAAGTTAATTAGGTTAATCTCTCCCTTCTCTCACCATCTCCATACTTGGAGTTTCGGTTTCGATTTCCCCGAAGGGAAGAGGCCACTGAGCAGTACCAAAGCTATCTGTTACTGGCGGACGCCATTTTGGAGCACAAAAAAGTGGCATAGGCCTTCGCTCTTCAACTTCCCTGCACTGTGGGTGGAACTTGACTCAACATAGCAGGGTTCCCATAGGATCTGCTGAGTCTTTTAACCTCCATTCTCTCTGGCAATTTGTAATTGAGGTTACTTTTTTATCCCTGAATCTTGTTGGCATAATCCCCACAGCTATCCTCAGCGGCACAGCAGCAGGCACCTAGGCTGTGTCAGCCTGTGCAAGTAAGCTGCTGTAGGCCCCATTTTCATTTCTACCCGGGCCTCAGGCATATCGAAATTTGGCTGATTGGTTGACTCTCTCTCAAAAATTGTGTTGCAAGTATACTGTGGCTCCTGGAGCACTAGTGCAACAATTATACCAGCTTCATTGTGGTATAATTTTCAAGCAACACTTCAATATTAGTATTAATTTACAATAGTAATACTAATAATTTTAATAATGTAAGCATTAATTATAATAATAATTATTATTATATATTCTGTACAGTATAATATTGTAATTCGTTACATTATTATCACTGAGATACGACCCCTCTATTTGGATATATACATATAGCCATAAAAAAGGGGGGGACGGATGTTAAGAATTATCAGGGCAACCATCTTGACTCAGACTGGACCCTGGGCGTGTCAACCGCATCATATTGTCTTTTTCTACCCTATTACTATAATATATAATTTATAAGAATGGCAGATGGCAACACCTCTAAAGGCCCTTCATTGAAGGCAAAAGCCAAAACCCATCATTTGCGCAAGCAGGCTAAAGAGACCAAAGCCCCTCAAAGGGACGCCTTAAGGCGCCACAAGGCCCTCCAAAAAGAAATTGATAGGTGCACCAGGGAAGCCCTCCCGGTGCCTCAGGCTTTACCATCCTCTAGTCCTTCTACCTCTGCTCAACACCCCCCCTCCTCTAGATCTTCCCCTCTCACCCAGGCGCAGCTTGCCCTTGCAAGGCCAACATGCTCAGACTCCCGGAACGCCAGCTAGAAGGGTGGCAGAAGCCACCTTCACCCCCACAGCCTCTGGCCTTCGCCAAGAGGGTTCCCCCATTGAGGAGGTTCCGGAGAGACTAAGGACCTGGATGGAGTTGGCCATCTGCCAAGGGATCGCAGACGGAATCCAGCAAGTAACCAGGTCTAGTCATTATCTGGTGGCTCCTGACCTCGAGTCTCAGTCACTAAGATCCCTGCCCAGGTCGGATCACCACCAGGTATACTTGCAGAGGGAGACCTCCTTCCAAGGCCGTGAGGAGGAGGAGGAGGACGAGGGAGAAATGGGCTAGTTCATGGAGGCAGATGAACTCTAAATGGGGTCCATGCAGGATAGTGAGCCCCTATCAGAGGCAGACCACTTGGAAGGGGAAATGTCTGAGGACGAGGGGCTCATCCCTGACCAGCCCGCCTTTGCGGGTTAATTCAGACCACACCTATTCAAATCTCTGTTATTCAAGTCCAAGAACATCTCAGGCCTAAGAACCCAATCACCAGGCGACACCCCCGCAACCTCAACAGAAGGTCCAGCGGACCTAATCTTTAACCACCCTGTAGTTGAGGCTGAGGTTATACTGGTCCCACCCATTTTTTCTGATTTAGTGCAAAAGCAGCTGGCCTCTGCAGCGGTACACCTGGTCCCATCTGGTCACGATAAAAAACTCTTTAACTTAGACTCAGGATTTTCAAAGTTGCTGAATACCCCGGAGGTAGACGAGCCCATAGTGGGCCGAGCATCCTCCTTAACTCCCACTGAGGCGTTAGAGGCCCTAAAGCCTGAGGAAAAGCGGGCCGAGTTAGCCCTGCGCAGGGCACACCAGTCAGATGCTTGGGCCATCAGATCGGCTACGGCCGCGTCTTTTTTCACGAGAGCATCCATTTGTTGGCTTCGCCAACTGCAGCAACACGTACCCACAACTAACATCAGGGCACACCAGGACATCGCGAAAATTACGGCTGCGGCCGAGTTTTCCGCTGATGCCACTTACCACTCAGTTAAGTTTTCCTCTCGGGCAATCACATCACACATCACTGCCCGCCGCTTACTTTGGCTGAGACACTGGCAGGCAGATTTTAAAAATAAAGCAAATCTGGCCTCTTCCCCCCTTGTAGGAGATAAGCTGTTTGGTCCCTCCCTGGACCCCTTACTTATGGAGACCCACAACAAAAAAAAGTTTCTTCCTTCCCTGATAAGAAAATCAGACTTCAGAACCCCACAGCCCTTTCGGAGAAGCTCATTTCGGCCCTTCTATCAGGCCCCTTTCTCCCCCAGGTATCAGAGGCCTCCTTCCTTCAGGTCAGCTCAACCCCAGAATAGAGCTGATTCAGGAGACAGGAGTAGAAGGGGCAGTCAATACAAGAGGCCCTTTCGAGGGACAGGAAGCAGGCCCTTCCGACGACCAAGATAGGTCAAGGGAGACTCTCCCCATTGGTGGTCGCCTTAAGTTGTTTGCGAGTCAATGGGACTCTTCTACCTCTGGCGCTTGGATCAGAGACACCATTAGATTTGGTCTTGCCCTTGAGTTTCACCCCCCCCCATTTCTTTGTCATGCCCCTCCTCCAGAGACCCGATCAAGCGCAATCTAATGGATTCCACAATCCAACACTTCCTAAACATAAAAGCCACCCAACCGGTTCCGTATGAACCAAGAGAGCGGGGTTTTTACTCTCACCTCTTTGTTGTTCCAAAACACTCAGGGAGGTGAAGAGCAATTTTGGATTTAAAAAGGCTTAACCGCTTTCTAATTTATCGTAAATTCAAAATGCATACCCTACAATCAATATTGCTGGGCATCAGACATGGGGATGTGCTCACATCCATTGACTTGATGGAGGTGTATCTACATATCGCTATTCGGCCTTCCCATTTTAAGTTTCTAAGGTTCTGTTACAACAATAACCACTTTGAATACGTGGCCCTTCCCTTTGGATTAGCCTCCGCGCCCAGAACCTTTACCAAGGTCCTCGCAGCTCTCGCTGCCCATCTCAGGAATATACCCATTCGTCTTCAGTGTTACCTGGACATCTTAATCCTGTCCCCCTCTAATCCCCAAGCAGCGAGGGACACCCAGGCTACTTTAGCTTCTCTCCAAGAGCATGGTTTTCTCATAAATTGGAAAATGAGTCAATTATCCCCATCGACTCGAATTACTCATTTGGGGGCAGTTATCGACACATTGGAAGGCAAAGTCTATCTGTCTTCAGATAGACTGCTTAGCATCCAAAAATCCGTTCGGGAGATTAGGTGCTCTAGAGGAGCGTCCTTACTAGATCTCCCTAAACTATTAGGAAAAATGATATCATGCATTTCTATTATTCCCTGGGCCCGTCTACACTCTAGATCCCTCCAGTGGTTCCTGCTTCCGTACCAGAGATCCGGCAGAAGCAACTCCAAACGCATGGTCAGGGTACCTCCCAAGGTCCTCATGTCCCTACTTTGGTGGGCCAAACCGGTCATCAACAAGGGCTGCCTCTTCAAGGAGCCTCAAAGGATTACTATCACCACAGATGCCAGCTTATTTGGATGGGGCGCCCACCTTCAGTCACTCACATCCCAGGGCAGATGGTCCGCAATAGAACAGTCGTGCAGCATAAACTGGCTGGAGCTTCATGCTGTTTTCCTTGCCCTCCGCAGCTTCCTTCCGCAGGTACGAGATCAACACATCCTCATCCTAACAGACAATGTGACAGCCAAAGCTCACATAAACAAGCAAGGGGGCACACAATCCATACAATTGATGAGGGAAGCCAAGCGTCTATGTCGCTGGGTGGAGAACAATCTTCTTTCTATCAAGGCAGAGCACATTTCCGGCCTGTCAAGCACACAAGCAGATTGGCTAAGCAGGGCTACCATAGACCAGTCAGAGTGGCAATTCCACCCGTCGCTGTTCAAAGAAGCAGCAAGGATATTTGGACAACCAGTGGTGTACCTATTCGCCTCCCCTCTCAATGCTCAGATCTCCAGATTTGTCTCAAGATACCCATCCCACGGGGCGGAGAATTACAACGCTCTCTGCTGCCCATGGCCAAGGGGGCTCTTGTTCCCCCCACTAGCACTGGTGGCCAGGGTCATCCAGAAATTATTACAAGAGAAAGCGGAATTATTCCTAGTGGCACCTCACTGGCCCAGGCGACCATGGTTTACAGATCTTCGCAGCCTCTCGGTAGCCCCTCCTTGGAGGATTCCATCAGACAAGATCTCACTATCTCAGGGGCCCCTCCTTCATCCTGACCCTCAATGGTTTCAATTGACCGTCTGGAGGTTGAGCAGAGCAGATTGAAGAGCGAGAAGCTCTCCAACAAAGTCATTAGCACCATTCTAGCTGCCAGGCGACCCTCAGCCATCCGTATTTACAATGCCACATGGTCCATTTTCTGCAGATGGTGTAGTAAATCTCAAATAGACCTTACTTCATCTTCTGTAGCTCGGATTTTAGAATTTCTGCAGGAGGGACTTGATAAGGGGCTATCCCCTAATACCCTGAAGAGGCAGGTAGCAGCGCTAACATCAGTTATTTCCTGCCAAGGTTTCAGCTCCCTCTCTCATCACCCTCGCATACGTTCCTTCCTTAGAGGGGCTACCAATCTAAGCCCCCCGGCAGTACACTGCTACCCCACCTGGGACCTTAACAAGGTCCTCCTGTCTTTCACCAAAGAACCGTTCGAGCCATTGAGGGAGTCAAGTCTCCAATTTTTGACATATAAGGTAGTTTTCCTGGTGGCCATCACCTCCGCTCGTCGCATATCGGAAATCGCAGCCTTGTCAGTCAGACAAGATCTCTGCGTTTTTCATGCCGATCGGGTGATTCTCTGTCCCAATCCCTCATTTATGCCTAGGGTCAACTCAGCTTTCCATAGAGCACAGGAGCTCATCCTTCCAAACTTCTGTCCCAGGCCTTCACAAGAGAAGGAAAGGCAATGGCACAAGCTTGAAGTTAGGCGCACTCTGCAAACGTACATCAGGCGCACTCAGCCCTTCAGAAAATCGGAAGCCTTATTTGTTTCCTTTCAGCCCAAGACACAGGGTCACAAGGTGTCTCCATCCACCATAGGCCGTTGGATAAGAGCAACAATAGCTAGATCATATCAGGCTCAAGCCCTGCAGGTGCCTAGAGGCATAACTGCTCACTCAACTAGGAGTGCTGCGACCTCGGTGGCTTGGGCCACTCAGATACCAATAACTGAAATCTGCCGGGCAGTGACTTGGGCCTCCCCATCACCCTTCATTAGACACTACAAAATTGATGTGTTTGCCTCTGCGGGGGCTCATTTGGCAGACGGGTTCTGCAACGGGTTCTTAGGGACCCTGAGGAGATTCCGAACCAGACGGAGTCCCTCCCGTAGGACAGGCCAAGCTTTGGTATGTCCCACTACTGGATGCTCTGAGCATCTCATAGGAGAAGGGGCGTTGGTACTTACCTGGTACGCCCACTCTCTTTGAGCTGTGAAGAGCATCCAGCCCCACCCTTTTCTTCCGTCTGGTGGGCTCTTGTTTTTGCCAGTGAACTTTTTTTAAGTAGTAGGGATGAGAGCACTTATTCCTCTCGTCTTCGCAAAACTGGGGAATGCTACGGAGGAGTCACGTGGAGGAGGAGGAGCGTTCCTTAATTCAAGCTCAGCCTAACAATGCAGTGACTGAGACACCTCCCCCTACTGGATGCTCTTCACAGCTCAAAGAGAACGTATCAGGTAAGTACCAACGCCCCTTCTCCTACATACATCCTGATGTATTTAATTTCTGCCTCATTTTTTCAGTTTTCATTTAGATATTTATTTCCAAATAGCTCCCTTTAAGATAATTTCTTGCTGTGTTTTTCTTTTTTCAGGTAAAGAAAGCTTTCTTTGCTTTAGTGGCAAATGGTGTTCGAGCAGCTCCACTGTGGGAGAGTAAAAAACAAAGCTTTGTAGGTAGGATGATATTTGTTTGTATGAAATTATAGAAAAATACCATGAATGGGTTTTTTTTCCTTCTGCTTTTTTACTTCTTCTATACTAAAAATATGGCTTCGAGTATATGCAGAAACTCAATTTAATGATCTCCCATTCAGCAGATTTTGGATACAATGGACCAGATTTCTATCTTGGTATGTCTCCAAAATAATGGACAAATCTGATATAACTGAAGTAGTTCAGATGAAACTACATTTGTATTAATGTTAGGTCATCCATTCTGATTTGCATCATTTTGGCATGCTGTTATTAAGCAATTGATGTGAATTATGAAATTCGTGTAATGATGCAATTGTTGCAATTCATATAATTGTTGATTAAGTGGACACTTGAGAGTAATAGACTCACCTCCTCCCCATCCGTGTATTAAATCAATATTTCTTTGCAATGGGAAAACATGGTTTTCTGCTAAATGACAAGCCCATGTGAGAAAGCATTGGAAACTTCCAGTTTTAAATATACAGACATTTGTAAGTGATACCTGAATTTGTGTATGATTTCTTTATATTCTTGCATTTGTACTATGGTATAATATGTGGTACATAGTCTATTTGACCATTAAATAGATTTTAGACTACACACTACAGCGGGGGTGTAAAACCCAGGGCCTGTGGGCCAGATGTGGCCCACAATGTGGTCGGATCCAGCCTGCGGGGCAGTCCTGCTGTACTCAGTGCAAAGAGGAAAGATCAGGTCAGCCTGGCTTCGGCTCAGTCCACCCAGTATGAAGAGGAAAGATCAAGCCAGCCTGGCTTTGGCCCAGTCTACCCAAAGCAAAAAGGAAACAGGTCAGCAGTTTGAGAAGTGGTATCAAGTTGGCCACGTCCATCCAATTGGCCACTCCTGCCCAGTTGGCCACACCCACCCAGTCTGCCACACCTGCCCGCCCCCCTGGAATCAACCACAGCCGTGATGGGGCCCTCAATGAAATTGAATTGGACACCCCTGCACTACAATATAAAGGGAACTATATTTAATTCAGAAGTAAAACTTCCCAATCTCCTTGTACTCATGACAGAAGAAAGGACAATGGAATAAGTAAATATTAAGCACAAGGCTTCCTGCAGATCATACAAATAATGAAAAACTAGGACTAGCTATCATATCTGACAATTTCAGTCACAGAATGAAGAAAAGAATGCAAGCGTATGAAAGATTTCTCATGAATGTTTGCATCTTGATGCTGACCATTTTAAACAATGGGATTAATATTTTGGATCAGGTCTGGAAAACATAAGATAGCATTAACTTTTAGAACTTAGTTCTGAACAAAGATTGTATATCATTTTTTGAGTACAACTAGAAGAGTGCTTAAAGATTATCTTTGGCTGTGTTTAAGAAATATGAGCAGTTTTTCTTACACATAAAACTAGTTGCATTTCAAAGGAAATGTGTTTTAGCTGTATCCAATTAGGTATCTGCTTTTTATTTTTTTATTCTGATTGAAGACTGCAACTTACTATTCTAAATAGGACTTCCAAAATCAAGGATATAGCTATAATTTATTTTTAGCCGATCTCCCTTAAAATTTCAGTATCGGAGGCTATTTACATGAAGCATTAAATTTAATTCTGGCATTTCAGAAAACAAGTTTAGAACTTATATACATTTTATTCCTTTAATATGCTAAGATGGAAATCTTAATATGCAAAGAATAGTGGGGAACTCTTATGTAACAGTCAAATTTTAGTTTAGCTGAAAAACAGTTCTAGCTCTTTAGTGGATAAAATATTAACACTTTAAATTTTGTGGAGTAATTATGATATCACAACTCTTAATGTGACTTGTGAAGAATAAACATTACTGTGTTTATGCATATTTCCAGGACTTCACTTCTTACATTTACCAGTAAATCTGTAAAGTTTAACGATGTTAAAAACAAATTGGAAAACTGGATTAAATGTGCTTTTTCTTTGCCTTGTTACAGGAATGTTAACTATTACAGATTTCATTAATATACTGCATAGATACTACAAGTCTCCAATGGTAGGTGCCACCTCATAATTACAGCTTTTACAAATAAAACAGGATGCCTGAAATAAAAGTATTAATATAATAGTGGTTAAAAGTAATGGTTAAGAGAAAGAATGCCATTCTGGCTTGGTGGAATTTTCCAACTTCTCTGTAATCTGTAGGTGTAAAACTGAACAGGGATTTGCCTGCCTTATTTTTTTCAATAATATTATGGCTGATTATTGCCAAATGAAAAGAAAAATGCCCATTCCCTAGATGGCAGTAATGCTTAACAATAATTGGCCCAGAAAAATGTAAAAAACCCTTTGATGTTTTGGGAAATATACAAACAATGGAACAGATCTAGTGTAATTGGTTAGTATTCAACTCCAGAAATTTAATTTAGCTGTGTAGCTTAAATAGCTACGTAGATAATTAGTGGACTTTGAGTAAATGAATAACTCTCAACCTAGTGTACTCATAAGCCAATTTACAACAATTAGCTGTTTACAGTGCAGCTTAACAGTATAGCAACATTATATCAAAATCTAATACTCTGAAGTTTCCATATGAAGGTGTCTGGAGAGAGGGAATAGCTTGTAGGTAAACAAGTATCACTATATAAACCCCACCTTTTATATACTTGCATGCCATGTTGCAACACAAGTATAAAAGGGAAGAGCTAATGTTATGATATGATGCATATTTCAATTTGAGACATCACAATAGTTAGGAAGACATCAATGTTTCTGTGTAGGCTTTGCATCCAGCCTGAAATTAGTTATTCCTAATATTTGAATATAGTAGTTGTATTTGAACCTGCCAATAATTGAAAATGAAATATTTCTCTCTTATACATACCGTTCAAATGCACATATCTGATGCTTGATCTGTTTCTCTGTTCAGTCATGTATCTGGCATATTGTTAGAACCACATACATTTGCATAGGTTATTTTTTGGACATGGCAGTTTCTGGAGACAATAAGAAAAGAGAAAAAAGAGCTGGAATAGATAAAAATGTGGCAAAAGAAAGCAAAGGTAGTACCAATAATAATAGGTATCTTGGATGCAATCCCAAAACAACTGGAGCACTCCTTGAAGATCATCAGCAAAAAGTTGCTTAACTCAAAGCAGCTTACATCATGCTATGATACCTCTAACACCATCAAACATCAACATCTGCATACCCGAGGTCTTTGGAAAGGACTTGATTGGTGGATAAAATACCAAATCTGGTCTGAATCTGCCTGATTGTGCGATTGAACCATCATAGTGAATGTTCAGTGAATGTTGTGTTGAGGGAAAACCACTAAAATTTATTTTCATATCATTAGTCTTTATTCCTGATTTTTTTTACTGTTTTAAAAATTTGAATTTGAGACAATGGAAATAGTCAAGATTCTTTTTTCACTTGGAAGTTTACACAATAGTTTTAAAAGTGGACATAGCTAAAGTGATACACAGAGCCAGCTGAAGCAAATGTGATATTTAATCTTTCTAAAATAAACAATCCTGTTTCTTCTATGGAAATTAATTCTGCCTGCCGATTTGTAACACAGATATCCCTTGCCATTGGCATTTATGATCTCAGAGATGTAGAGGAAAGGAAAACCAACTTAAAAAGTTGCTGGCATTTGGAAATCTAAATGTTACAGTCTGGTTAGTTAAGAAACAGATTGTCCTCCCACAATAATTCTGTTCATCCTGTCTTCAAATCCCAAATGTACAATTACTGCATTTGCTTATCTTCTTTACTTCCTAACAGTAGCATCTGCACTTATTTTGTCTCGTACAGCAGTACATTCAACTACAATTGCTCACAGTCATAAGTAGGAAATAATCAATATATACATCAAGTAAAGAAAAGTGAATCAAGCTGCAGACTACTGATTAACCAGGACTGCCAAAGTACTAATGTAGTAAATGGGATCAGTGGTAAGATTCAAATAATTTAAGAACTGCTTCGCCCAGTGTCAAGTTGGCCATCATGGAAAGCGTGGACCATCCTCCAACTCCACTGCACATGCAGGAAGAGTCTCCCGCATAGGCCAACCTGACCTTGGGCGAACCAGTTGTTAAATTACCTCCACTCCCCCTTCCCCCACTGTCAAAATGAATCAACTCTGTCCTTTTAACACAGAAGGAAAAAGATATCGAGAGGATGCACTAGTATATGAAGGGGGTGAAAAAAAACAAAACTAAAATGGCAACCGCAAGAGGGACTGAAACAGATAAGGAAGGGAAGTAGTGACTAAAGAAAAAAAAGAATGTGTTCATTAAAGGAGGCACGATTATTGTTAGGCAAGTTTCTTTAAAAGGTGGAGGATGACAGAGACCTGAGAAAGGCAGAGCAAGACGGAAAGGAAAAGCTAGCAGGAGGCGAGAGGAGGGAGCTAATCCATCCAAGCAGGAGGAAATGGAGGGGCAAGTGAAAGCAAGGAAAAGAATGGTGGATGGAGGGAGGCAGGATCAAAAAGACTCCCACCTCCTCAGTGAGACCTCTGGCAGGCCGTTCACTCCGCCCCCTCCCCTGCTTCTCTTTGTCCACTGCAGCCTCTTTGGTGCAGAGCTATCTGCTCTTTCTCCCTACTCAGGGAGGAAAGACGCTGGGAGGGGTCACTCACCTCCTTGACTAAGCCAGGAGCCACTCCCTTGACGGCGTGGATGAGGGAAGGAGGAGGAACAGGGAGAAGAAGGAGGGAAAGAGGCCTCTTTCCCTCACACTGGATGCTCCATTGCCCATTTTCTCCATTGCAGCACAGCGCTACACGGAGCTTGCCTTACCCACCACTGCCCAGGTGCCCTCGCTCCCCCAAGCATTTCTTTGGCTACCTGATTTTCAGCTTTCTCTGTCACATTTCTCGTCGTCATTGTGTGCAGGGGACAAAGTTTGTGGGACAAAAAAAAGTTCAATCAATTCCAACTTCTCATGAAAAAAGAGATCTTGTGAAGTTGGAATTGATTGATTGAACTTTTTTTTAGTCCCATAAATTTTTGTTACCCTGTACACAATGGTGAGAAACGCGACAGAGAAATGAGACGGAGCTGGAAATGAAATAGTCAGAAAAATGCTTGGAGGGGAAGCAAGAGCATCTGGGCACCAGGTGGGGTGGGATTCAGATTTCTTAACAACCGGTTCTGTGGGTGGCCTAATATGTGGGTGTGGCTTGGTCATGTGACTGGGTGGGCATGGCTTGTGTGTAAATATTATAAATATTTATGTAAATATTGATTTTTTTTTTAATAAAAAAGAGCAACTTTTACCCAAAAGCAGGCAAAGCAGGCAGGCAGATTGAATTGCTCATAGAATCACAGATTCACTTAGAGATCTATCTATATGCAGTCGGCTACCTGAGTCTGTCATATAAAATTTGCTTGCAAGCAAACTCATAAAATTAACTTACAACACACAATGTATATTGTGTGTATATTGAATTTTTTATTTTAAAAAAGAGCAACTTTTACCCAAAAGTAGGCAAGCAGATTGAATTGCTCACAGAATCACAGATTAATATAGAGATCTATCTATCTGTAATCGGCTACCTAAATCTGCACTGAAAAACTTCAGTCCTAAGGAAGGTTTGGCTCTGCTTTTAGATTAGCTAGAAAGCAAGAAATCCAAAGATTCCCTGCTTTCTAGTTAATCTAAATCTCCCAGCACAGCAGAACAGCTGATGGTTGGGGGAAAAAAAGGAAAAATAGCAACTTACCAAACCAGGCAAGTTGGGTGGCTCGCATGCCAGGTAAGGAGTAAGTGGGCAGGGAAAGTGGGGGGGCAGCCAGTGGAGCGATTTGCCGGTTCTCTGAACTGCATCGTGTGTGCAGTGTTTGCAAGAAACCATCAGCTGTGCTGCCTAGACAGCTGACAAGCACTGTTCTCGGGTGCGCAGCATTTGAAAATCCTCTTGTTTCTTGCTTTTTCAACCTCAGCTGTGCTGTGCAAAGCAGGTGAGGAGAGGAAAGCAGGGAATAAAGGAAATCCTAGAGCCCGGGCAGGTGGGTGAGCCAAACACCGAACTGGTTCAGTGTCAGCTGCTCTTTGCAGCTACAGGTTTTATAGAACCAGGCCGAGCCGGTAGCATCCCACCCCTGGTGCCTGTTGCTGAAATGGGCCTGTCTCTCTCCAGCAGTTGCTCAGGCTCACCAGAGGGAAGACCGGCATCTACCAGCATTCAAACTCAGTGACATTTCATGTCTGGCCAGAAAGGGGCAGCTGGCATGGGCGCTGCAGATAGGACACTTGCCTCCCTGACTCTCTTGCACTCCGCTGGCGCTTTGGCCCTGGGCTGCTTCCTTACATGCAGGCCCTGCCCCTGCCACCTGAGACAGTTTTCGCCTGAGTGAAGTGATTGAAGGTTTCCGTCATTCCCCTCTTGGACTTTTGGGAGGGTTTTTTCCCCACCTGGAAGGAAGTTGAATGAAAACCAGACGTGTTCCAGAAAACACAGATTTTCTGCAACACATCTAACCGGTTTGTTGAACCCCACAAAAAATTAGCTACTGGTCCTAATGAACTGGTGTGAACGGGCTGAATCCCACCCACTGAATGGATGAAGAATTTCCTTCATGTGTATTCCCCAGAGACTGGCACCGGTGGAATTTCCTTTAAACACACACATGTGCCGTGATCCTGAGTTGACTGCTTCTTTCATGTTTGCAGGATTGAATGATATATTACTGCACTGCTCATCTCACCCTAGTTTTGATGGTCTTATCCTAGATCCATTGTGTAAATAATAATTACACTAACTTAGTCAGTGCAGTGCACCATCTTACTGTGGATTCCATGCACCATTCTTTTGCTATAGTATTGCTGAAGTTGTTATCATTAATTTGGAATGAGGTGACTTTCTCACAACAGTGAACAGAGCATTTTTTTTACTCAAATGCAGGCATATTCCTTTCACTGCTGAGCATATTTGAGTGAATAGTATCTGTAGACTTTCAAGTATGAATAGAAAACTCAAGGGGGGGGGGCTGTCAACAAAACAGATCTCTTGCTTGTCTGCAGCTGTATGTGCAGATGCCCCAGAGCTGGCCCTGCTGTACAATATCAAGGTTGCCAACTCTAGCAAAGTTCCTTTCACCAAGGAGAAGATGGAATTGGTGGAAACTTAAACAGGTATTATTGTCTCAAAAGTTGGAAAAATTTGCTTTAGGCTGCCACGTTTTGCCAAGTGTTGGGCAGTGGCAGGTGCTAGTCAATTGTTTTCTTTGAGGACCCATGGACAATAAAGATACAGTAAGTAAGGAAGTTTTAAGCTCTATTCTTAACTTTAGCAGAGAGATAACAGAAGCTTAAAAGCAAATATACCAATCAAAATTATAAATAGCACATCCTTTTTCAACTCTTAGGAGCCCTAGGGAAACAATAGCAGAAAAATCCCAAGATTACTTAAGTTGGCACCTGTTGACATCTCATGTGCTATAAGTTTGCATGATGAAAGATCAGATCATGGGATCATGTAGAAAAGGTCATGAGAACCTGGTACCAGGTATAAACGATTAAGCTCCTGGTCTGGTGCCAGTGACAATAGATCCTGGTATTGCCCTTGGAATCGGGAACTTCAACACAGGCTTGAAGGTGGATATTGTGTGTCTAGTATATCTTGAGATTTCTCCATTATGCCATAGGGTACTTGAAGGGAGAACTTTGACCTGGCCTGGGGGTTTGGTCATTTGGGGGTCTTTCCACTGTTTTTCCATTGGGGCTCCTGACAGTTGATGAAAGGTTTTTTTGTGCTCTTATGTTTCTGTTTAAATTTATCTTGGGTTAATTAAGAAAACTGTGATAAAGTTAACTGTAGCAGTACCTTTTTTTTGGAATAGCCTTCTTCCTGAGATCTGGATGGCTTCTTTCCAATTGGTCTTCTGAAAGCCTGCATATACTCAGCTTGTTGGCCCGGCCTTTAGTGGGAGCTTAGTATGCCTGTTGTTATATGAAATACCTTGATTATAGTGTGATCATTATTTTTAATAGAATCAAACTTTTATTAATATGTTATTTACCAACTATTAATTTGTTTAAAAATGATAAATATAACAGGAAAAAGAGGTTGGGAGGATAGATCAAAGGGATAGAGAAGTTAAAGAAGTTAAAAAGTGACAAAAATATAGTAAGCCCCCCAAAATGACTTGATTTTCTTCTGTATGGATACAAATATATAGTAAGGTAATCTCTTATTCTAAAATAAAACAAACATAAAAAGCTGATATAAAAGTACACCAATTAAACAATCAAAATAAAATTATAATTGTATAATAACATAACCTTTTATTCTAAGTTTAAACCTAAACATGCACAAAGATACCTATCTCTAATAATAAAAATAAGCAATATTTCTAATGGCAGATTCAATTGCTGAATCCTAAAATCAATTTTTCATTTTTAATCTCTTTTTAAAATGTCTTCATATATTGCTTATTAGCTACCCAGAATTGTTTAAGATGAGCGCTGATATAACTTCTCCAAAATAAATGAATAAATATTATGCAGCAACAGAATATTCTGTATATGCATCTAGTAGATATGAAGCCCTTGTGATGTTAAATACTCCAGATATTTCCGTTATAACTGTTCATAGCATTCCCTTATTGGTTAGCTGCTGGGAATTGTTTAACAGCAATTAGAGACCATAGATTCCGTATTCCATTGTAAAGAATGCATGCCAGTCTTTCACTTCATTAGTAAAATCCAGCAGTTTTACCATTCAATTTTACCACTGTTTTAAAAGGAGGAGTTCAACTGAGGGCAATTTTTATTTCAATAGTGTTCTTCAGTAAGATGTTATTTTAAAAGTACTGTTAACACTGTTTGATTTTAAATCAATAGTAGCAGGAGAAGAAGCACAGTTCTTTATTTGTGCACAAATTAATATCAATAATTTAATGCAGCAAGGAAGAACAGTTTTGTGTATAGAATTTACTCTCCCTGTATACTATTGACTGTATAGTACATATACTTTCTGCTTTTTTAAAACTTTTGTGATTTTCTTCCATTTGAATTGACTTCACTGTGTTGAATTAATCACAGTGTAAGTTTTTGCACAATGTAACAGTGATGTGTTTTACACTGGCTTCCACGATGAGGTAAGATATGATATGTACCATTCAATATATATATATTAAAAGGCAAGCTGATTCTGTAATCTTCATTTTTGAAATAAAAATAATAAACTTTCAATACCTTTGATTGGCAGTTTTGTAATTCTAGCTCCCAGGAAGCTGTGAACTCTCACTTAGCATTCACTTGTTAGAGCCAAAGAGGGAAAGGATTAAAACCTGGAAAAGGAAACGAAGTAGAGAAAATATTTAGTAATAATCACAGTTTATTCTGTTGGATGCCATTGATATTAGAAAATAAAATGTATTTTTTCAAAGCACTAAAAGATGAAACATTTGAGAGAAATTTGTATTCTAACCAAATTGTTTCTCTTTAATGAAACATACTTGCAATATAGACACAAATAATAGTTAACGGAATGTAGTTCTTAATTCTAATAAGTGGAATCTGAATCTCTATTATGTAGAAGAGCTGTATATAGAGCTGAGCATTTAATCTCTCCTAATTTTGGCAAGCTCTTTGGCTGAATTTTAAATTTGCTTATTCTCTAGCCTTGCTTATATGGAGACAATTTGGTGTAGTGGTTAAAGGCATTGGGCTAGGAACTGAAAGGCTTAGGTATAAAGCCAGCTGGATGAATTTGGGCCTGTCTCTCTCTCAGCCCTAGGAAGGAGGCAATGGCAAACTGTTTCTAAGAATTAGGACAAGAAAAATGGCAGGGACTTATCCAAGCAGTTGCCAGGATCAGGAATTATTTGAGAATGAATACTCATACACAAATCGCCCAAAAGTTCATCACTTAGAAAAGAACCCCCTTAAAGACCACTTTTCTTCTGTCCTCAATATTTTTACTCAAAGGAAGATGTCCTTTATTTTAATGACTTTTAAAAATATAAATATATTCTCGCCTTTTTGTCTTTCTTTTTTATAGGTACAAATCTACGAACTGGAGGAGCACAAAATTGAAACATGGAGAGGTAAGTATATGTTATAAACCATTCAAAATGAATGTGATCCTCCAAACTAGCTGTGCAGCTCTCTTGTTTACTAGATCTTTTATCATCCCCAAATCGAAGAATGGTAATATACCTGTAAACAGGTCATATCCTAGAATGCAAAACTAACTTAATGTGTGTTGATGTTTGTCCCAGTAAGTGAGAGTATTTTCCTTGTACTTCTCAGGTAATCCTTGAGTTACAACCACAATTGAGCCCAACATTTATGTTGTTAAGTGAGTTTGATAAGTGAATTTGATGGGGTTTGCCCCATTTTGCAACTGTTGTTAAGGGAATCATTGCAGTTGTTAAATTAATAACATGGTTATTAAGCGAATGTGGCTTTCCCATTGACTTTACTTGTCAGAAGGTTACAAGGGGGGAAATCACATGACCCTAGGACACTTCAGCTGTCATAAATATGAACCAGTTGCCAAGCATCTGAATTTTGATCATGTGACCATGAAGATGCTGCAGTGGCTGTAAGCCATTTTTTCCAGTGCCATTGCAATTTTGAATGGTTACTAAATGAACTACTCAAGGACTACCTGTATATTTTTTCATTCACCTTTTCATTCTCATATAATTGTTGCAGTGGAAAAAGACAGTTTCCCTCAGTGGAAAAAGACAGTTCCATTGTGCATAGTTACTGAGTCTTGTCTTAGTTTTATTTTATTGAGGATGGGTCCTCCAGACCTGCCATATGTTGTAGAAAAATATTGATTACCTATTTGGTCTACTGAGTTTTAAAAAATTAAATTACTCTCCTGAATTGTAAACACTTTCTCTAAAATACTTTCCACAATTTTTGTTGTAATTGTGATATTCATCCTCAGACTATAGTGACCTCTAGTGGTTATTTGTTCTGAAAACTAATTTCTTTTTTTTTTATTATGATTATTTAATTATTTTTGAATTAAAAAGTTATTTCTTTACAGCAGAAATGTTATTGTTATGAAATATTTATTGAATATTATAGGTTTATGAAAATATTATTTTTAATTATACAGAGCTTTATTTGCAAGAAACCTTTAAACCCTTGGTGAATATTTCACCTGATGCAAGGTATACAATTCTTTCTTTACCTTTTTTATTTGTAAATTCTGTTCATGTTTTATTATAAGCTCTGTTATTTTTATCAAACTATTTCAAAGAAGAACTGAAGACTAATGTGATAATTGTCAGAAGTTAGGGTTTTGATGGCAATCATTTATCTGATACTCGCTTTAATGCTGTTTGTATTGATAACTTTTATTGTATAGATGAGTTTGAGACAGTGATAGCTCAACAGTTAAAAATGCTGAGCTTGTCAGCTGAAAAGATGGCAACTCAGGTTCAAGATCTGAATGCTGTGCAACAGTGAGCTCCCGTTTCTTGCCCCAGCTCCTGCTCACCTAACAGTTCAAAAGCTGCAAATGCGAGTAGATAAATAGGTACCATTTTTGGTGGGAAGGAAACAGCATTTTGTGTGCCTTGTGTAATCATGCTGACTAAGGAAAATGTTTTCAGATAACACTGGCTTCCTCAGCTAAGAAACAGTGATTAGCTCCCTAGAGTCGGACACAACTGGATAAGGGAAACTTTTATTTTTATAAATCAGTTATCAACTCTGAATTATCAGCTTACTGGTCACTATCAATAACTTTGAATCTGGATAACTTTCTTCTTTCTTTATAAAATATCTTCCCATAACTCTCATTATTATTATTATTCTCTTAGAATGTTCTTGTTTTTTGATATAATGTTGGTATTAAAATATACATAACATCTAATTGAGAATTACAATTGTATATTGTTTTGTTTTCACAATTTTCTTGAATGTTTTTTTTATTAAGAATCATTTATACTTTTGATTTTGAGTAATTCTTTTGTAGTGGGAAAAAGTTTTAGAAATAAGTCAATAGAATGTACTAATAATTGCAAAACTTTCTCTTTAGCCTTTTTGATGCTGTGTATTCATTGATCAAAAACAAAATCCACAGATTACCAGTTATTGATCCTGTGAGTGGAAATGCACTTTATATACTTACCCATAAAAGAATACTCAAATTTCTCCAGCTTTTTGTAAGTAGAACTATAGTTTTATTCTGTTCTAATTATCTAGTAAATTAATTGTATGAATGTTAAATAATATCCTGGGTCTATGTCAGTACACTCCTTAAATGTACCTTCCAGTTTGCAAACTGCAAACACCAGTATATTGACTAGCCAGATTGTCTCTAGACCATTAATTCTACCTTATATAGAAAAACACAATTTAGTAAAGTCTACTTTGGTTGAATTAGTATGGATAGCTGTATGTGACATAGGTATGTGTAAAGCAGATAATTCTGTGTGCACCTTATCTATTAAATTAAAAATGGTATATGAAAGCATCAACTGTCCCAAGTGATGATGGGTGATGGACATCAGTATCTATGCCATCTTTTGACCATCATGGTACACTGCTCAAAAAAATAAAGGGAACACTTAAACAACACAATGTAACTCCAAGTCAATCACACTTCTGTGAAATCAAACTGTCTACTTAGGTAGCAACACTGATTGACAATCAATTTCACTTGCTGTTGCGCAAATGGAATAGACAACAGGTGGAAAGCATAGGCAGTTAGCAAGACATCCCCAATAAAGGAGTGGTTCTGCAGGTGGTGACCACAGACCACTTCTCAGTTCCTATGCTTTCTGGCTGATGGTTTGGTCACTTTTGAATGCTGGCGGTGCTTTCACTCTAGTGGTAGCATGAGACTGAGTCTACAACCCACACAAGTGGCTCAGGTAGTGCAGCTCATCCAGGATGGCACATCAATGCAAGCTGTGGCAAGAAGATTTGCTGTGTCTGTCAGCATAGTGTCCAGAGCATGGAGGCACTACCAGGAGACAGGCCAGTACATCAGGAGACGTGGAGGAGGCCCTAGGAGGGCATCAACCCAGCATCAGGACCGCTACCTCCGCCTTTGTGCAAGGAGAGACAAGAGGAGCATTGCCAGAGCCCTGCAAAATGACCTCCAGCGGGCCACAAATGTGCATGTGGCTGCTCAAATGGTCAGAAACAGACTCCATGAGGGTGGTATGAGGGCCTGACGTCCACAGGTGGGGGTTGTGCTTATAGTCCAACACTGTGCAGGATGTTTGGCATTTGTCAGAGAACACCAAGATTGGCAAATTTGCCACTGGCTCCCTGTGCTCTTCGCAGATGAAAGCAGGTTCACACTGAGCACATGTGACAGATGTGACAGGGTCTGGAAACGCCGTGGAGAACGTTCTGCTGCCTGCAACATCCTCCAGCATGACCGGTTTGGCAGTGAGTCAGTAATGGTGTGGGTGGCATTTCTTTAGCACAGCTTTCCATGTGCTCGCCAGAGGTATCCTGACTGCCATTAGGTACAGAGATGAGATCCTCGGACCCCTTGTGAGATCATATGCTGGTGCAGTTGGCCCTGGGTTCCTCCTAATGCACAACAATGCTGGAGTGTTTCAGCAGTTCCTGCAAGACAAAGGCATTGATGCTATGGACTGGCCCGCCTGTTCCCCACACCTGAATCCAATTGAGCACATCTGGGGACATCATGTCTCACTCTATCCACCAATGCCACATTGCACCACAGACTGTCCAGGAGTTAGGGAGAACTGTGGGAGGAGTCCAGGTGTGGGAGGAGATCCCTCGGGAGTCCAGGTGTGGGAGGAGATCCCTCAGGAGACCATCTGCCACCTCATCAGGAGCATGCCCGGGCGTTGTAGGGAGGTCATACAGGGACGTGGAGGCCACACACACTACTGAGCCTCATTTGACTTGTTTTAAGGACATTACATCAAAGTTGGATCAGCCTGCAGTGTTGTTTTCCACTTTAACTTTGAGTGTAACTCTAAATCCAGACCTCCATGGGTTGCTAAATGTGATTTCCATTGATAATTTTTGTGTGATTTTGTTGTCAGCACATTCAACTATGTAATGAACAAAGTATTTAATAAGAATATTTCATTCATTCAGATCTAGGATGTCTTATTTTTGTGTTCCCTTTATTTTTTTGAGCAGTGTATATGGAAGGTTAGGACATGGAATGTAAAAGAAATAAATGGTAAAACATGAACTGATGGGTGAAATGAAATTAAAAAAAGTAAAATTCAAACCTTCAGCCTTGCTGAAGTAGAGCTTCTCAAAGCTATCAGCTTGTCCTTCTGTGTTTTAGATCCCTGCCTTCCTGATTCATTAAGGTATCCTGAGAGGGGCCAGGTGTGTGTGTGTGTGGGGGGGGGGTCATTCAGTGAGGAATACACATTGGAAAGAAAATACTGGCTTATGTCCCTGGCAAACACTTTTCAAATGATTATTTTTTAAAATTTGTCTTCTACTTTTTTCAAGGTGTCAGAAATGCCAAAGCCTGCCTTCATGAAGAAAAATCTGGATGAACTTGGAATAGGAACTTACCATAATATTGCCTTTATACATCCAGACACTCCTATCATTAAAGCCTTGAATATATTTGTAGATAGAAGGATATCAGCACTACCTGTTGTGGATGAGTCAGGTGAGTAATAAGGATTATCAAGTTTGTTATTGCTTGTTGTGAGCACTAAAGCCTGGAAATGTTTTTAAATTTTAAGAAGACAACCACAAAATGCAAATGTGCAGGATTGAGATCTGAAGCACTTTTGTGTCCACATCACATCAAAATATTGTGCATACTTAATTAGAAAAATCTTTGAAGATTTCATTATTTATTTAGATCAATGTTTCTTAACGTTGGTAAATTTAAGATTGCATGGTTTTCAACTCCCAGAATTCTCAAGCCAACATTCTGGATAACTTTTCCTATACTTCATACGAATGGTTTTAAAAAAAATTGTTCCAAGAAGCCCTAGAAATCATATTATTGGGAACTAACATAGTTCTACAACATCATCTTGGAGTTGGTCAGCTGAAAAATATGGCTAATTACCCCATGTCATTGTCAATGCCGGGTCAAACTGCACCAAAGTCCAGTAAAACAACTGAGATTTGTTCCAAAGGTAGGTCATTCACCAAGATTGTTAATACTCCAAAACAGCATCTAAACCTATAAACAAGGATATGTGCTTAAGTGTTCAGGAAAACATTCTATTTCTTCTCATATTGAATTTGCAATTCAATTGTGTGACAGAGTTCATATTTTTTCTTAATTGTTTTGCTTAGCCCATAAAACTAGAGAAGCAAGTGTTATCTTTCGAAAATGTAGAATTAATATTAATTTGTTTTGTCAGTTGTTTGTGAACACATTATAAGGCTTATCTTCTTCCCTTTTTAGGAAAAGTTGTAGATATTTATTCCAAATTTGATGTTATAGTAAGTATTTTTTATATATAATATTTCTTTCACTTAGTTTTTCACTGTGAACACTCTGTAATATGCCCTGGTTCATAGGGTTAGGGTTACTCTGTGTGAAGTTACTTTGTTAATATGTTAAATAATATTTTAAAAGCTTCTTTATAACTATTGTATCATACTTCGAGTTTGTGTAACATGGTATTTCCAAAAGTAAAATATGATGCACTCAGAAATTGTCTTTAGCATACTTTTGCATAAATATTATAAAGTAACAGCACCAAAACTGTTAAGTAAAAATGAGAAGAAAAATAAATTGGAGATTTTATTTTATGAATACTTTTTATTTAATCTAATCTAAAGCAATCTAAAGTAACTAAAGCATTCCATGGATACTTTATAAAAAGTGGGAATAAAACTCTTGGTTTAGGAAAAAATTATTGAACAATAGTTTGCAGTATGAAATAGTTTGCATGCTTCAAATAAAACAGTGCTATCCTTTCTTAAAATCAAAGATAGGAAATGAGAAATATTCTGTTGCTTCTTCCTGGTTTTTTTTTTTTATCATTTCCCCCTTTGAATTCAAAATTATGGGGAGCTCATATGCATAATTTGCTACCATGGTTAGATAGGCCTTGCTAATTGTCATTAATGAGAATGCTGGGACAATGTGAAAGGAAAGGGAAATATTTGAGAGAAGATGTTCTCCATATCCTTCACCCCCACCCCAAGATCTTTAACTTTTGAAAGTTAACAATTAAGTACCACTAATGTGTAGTATGCATTGTTTTTAACCAAAACACACTTTCTTACACCCAATTAATCCAAAATATGTATCATGGGGGCACATACAGGTTTGTCTGCTTTGCTTTTTTCCAGTAGTTAAATCACAACATGTGGATCAAATTTCTGGAGTAAAATAATGAAATTTGTTGGCTGCACATAAAAAATGGAATTGACTCATCTGTAACTGCCTTTTTTCTAGAATCTTGCTGCTGAAAAAACTTATAATAACTTAGATATCACAGTGACACAAGCTCTCCAACATCGCTCTCAGTATTTTGAAGGTGTTGTGAAATGTAATAAGCTGGAAACGCTGGAGACAATTGTGGATCGGATAGTTAAAGCTGAGGTGAGAATTTGGGAGGGGGGCATAGTAGTTTTCTGAATAGCACTGTTTATGAGATTATTCCAAAGAGCACACAGATGGTAACAATATAAGAATATAATGATATAATACAAAATTACTTGTTTCCTTTTTTAAAAAGTGCAATAAATTTATTACATGATAATTTTGTTTTTTACATTGATTTATAAGGATTTTTAAATTTCTGAATTAAATATACCACTTTTATTGAGATTTCAAAGTGGTCTTGCTATGTAAATACTGTTTAGAAAAAGTTTGTTGATGTGAATGGTTTAAACCATCAAACATTTAAGAATTGCTAGGAACAAATGTGTTGAAAATGTGTGAGAACAGCATGATAGAAACATTCTGTTAACACACCTTTATGTGATAATTAAAATAGCTTAAAAAGTGAATAAGATGAAACTGTTCAATCTCTCACTTTTTTAGCAATCAGCAATCTATTCTAAATAAGGAATAATTGAGATGTACCCTTAAAACACTGCATATCTTCTGCAAGGTAAAGCTGTTCTTTGCTTTGATTGCAAGTTTGATTCACTTGCAGACAATAGGGCCAGGCTAGAAATGTATCCCCATTTCATTCTCAGCAAACTTTTCATGAAACTTGTTTCATGTATCCTAAAATTTTATTGCTTTCTGCTTTTTCCAAGTAGTATTTGACTGGATTTTGAGAATGTATGGGTAATCTTCCCATATGTCATCACTTATTTAAGCTTATGGTTTTTTTCCCCAATTATCTTCCTCCAACCACCATTTTTTCAAAATATAATTAGGGAAAAAAAACCCAAAATGTTCTGAATTATTTATACAACTATACAAGTAAAATCAGCAATGGCCTTGAAATATGTTGCTCTTGCTGCCAAATGAAGCCTGGAACCAATTACAAAGAAGTAAAGAATCAAGCAAAAAGAGTAGGAAGTATTAAATATGCTTTTTTGAGTCTTTACAGCAGGAGTGTCAAACTCATGGCTCATGGCTCCGCCCAGTTTAGCAAAGGGGGGGAAAAGTCCCGATATATCACGTGATGCTGCCATGACGACATGAGTTTGACACCCCTGCTCTACAGCAAAGAAAGATAAATTTAACAAATTATAGCTATTATTCAAGAGCCCATTTGTGTAAGAACGTTGCCAAACTTGAAAAGACTGATCACTTGATTAAATCCGTGCAGTAATCATAGACACATTGAACCCATTCATCATAATATTCCTACATAAAATATCACCAATATAAGATAAACATCTATAAAAATAGAATTTCCCCCCTTTTCTGTTTGTTTCCTGTGTTCCCCATTTATATCAGGTGAGTATGATTGTTCAAATACAAGAGAAGAACTCTAAATTGCCTGGTCAGTAGGTGGTTCACCTCTGTCCTCCATTGTTGAAAAACCTTGATTCTGTGTGCTTACCATTTGACAGAGGGCCCACCCTTTCTTTTATCAGTTCTTTTCAATTCACAATATTTCCTAAAATGGACACAAAATGAAAAAATAGTACAAAGAAGAATAGTTTACAGGGGTGGCGAATCTGAGCCCTTCAAGTTGTTGAACTTGGCTAGCAAGGCAATGCTGGGAGTTGAAGTTCAGCACATCTAAAAGACCATAGTTTCCTCATTCCTTCCATAAAATATCACCTTTATTGTAAGAATGATGAATTAGTGGCCCTTAAAATTCTGTTTAAGGTAGGAATGCTACGTAGGATCATAACATTTTATTTTTGCAGAGGATAATATTTCTTAAATGCCCTGCAGAAATGCTAATCCGTTTGCCTTTTTAATCAAATGAACGTCTTTTCCTTGATCCTCTGACCAGTTCCAGTTAATGCCATTGCTATCAGATATTGAAAAACAGAAATTTTAAGACTATTTTTAAATCTCATATACAACTCATTTTCAGTAACCTGAACTGTAAGTTATGAGAGCATTAGAAATGGTATAGCATCTTGATCTAGATGAATTCTATTAGACCCTCACTTGAATTAAATGATAAGTGAAGAGGAGTGAAAAAGATCAGCTGCCTATTGGTTTCATACAAATGTTAAATATATGGAGTCCTCGTTTGGGAGTTGCAAGTGGGACTGGAAACTTGGTCATTAAATGAAGCAGTTGCATCTCTCCTTATGATCTTCCTTTAGCTTTCTTTTGTTTTACAAATCTGTAGAGATTATAAGTGCAATTGAATATACAGTTTTCACTGCCCTTTTAACTGCAAACAACTGTTAGAGACAGTTGCTAAATAAAGACCACCCGTAATATGAACAATATAATGGAATCTGGTGAATTTCCATATTGTAATTGCCAATATAGTTCTTTTACTCCAATTTCTGAAACTACTAAACAACCCAGAAAATTCAATAGAATAACAAATTATAGCTTGTTTTATGTGAAAGCAATGTTTGATCTAGAAAAAAAGGAATGGCTTACAAAGAATCTAATTTACATTATTTGAGCTTAAAATGATTTTCATATCTTGACTAATAGAAGACAATATTGGTAGTTCAAGATTAAACTGTAAAGTTCTTGGAGCCATGTTCTGAGAGCACCAAGAACTCCATGTATCTTTGCTAATCGAAGTTCCGAGATTCAGATATGCTGATATTCAAAGATACCATTTCTAACTCTACATGATTAGGGTTTCTGGTTATGGTTTGTTGGAAATGCCAGAAATGGCCATTTCGCTCAAAGTTGCTCAAGCTGTTATAGCTATGTGCACAATTTATGCTAAACCAAAACCAAATAAGCTTAATAATGACTTAGCACAAAATGCGAGCTTGGCCAGTGGCAAGCTACGATTAATATGGTCTTCTGAATTATTATTTCCCATCTCACATAAAGGAAAAAAAACAACATATAGATGCAGCAGGCTTATTCATCTCTTAACTTCTATAGTATACAAATCTCAAGCTAATGTTACAGATTAAATTTGAAGACACCTATTAAGTAGGACTAGATATTTGATTCTCCCAAGCAGTTAACTCCTCACCCCAGTGCACAGTGAATGGTTGTTTTCCGGTATAGACTATATCAGACACTGCATGTAAAATGGAGATTTGTTGGTCTCTTCGGTTTACTCACTTTGCCTTCCTTTCTCTCTCCTGTTCTATTGGCTATACCCATATTCAGTTAGCTAAAGGTAAAACATGGGAATGTACACACACACACACACACACACACACACACACACACACACATAATTTGGCAAGATTATACATAAATTAGTTTTCGCTGTCATATACAGTAAACTACTTTCAAATCTCATGATCCTCAAAAATGATACATGGCATATAGGTTAGCTATTCAAAATGTTTGCTGGGAAAATGCTATCATACTATACTATTTGGAGCATAAATTATAAAAACTCACAATTAGGCTGTAGCTTTTATTAGATTGTTCTAATTTTAAATATAGTTTATGTTTGAAAGCGGTAACATTACACTTCACTTTTATCATAAAAATAGACTTGTTGCCTTTAGCCTGTTCCTTGTTAGATTACATTTCAGTATTTAGTTATAATCTCTATTTTTATCAAGAATCTTCTACTTAAATATATTTATAACCAGTAGCAAATTTTGCTGAATCTACTTACATCCAGTTCTCTTAGAACATTGAATAAATACATACATATAAGAGGATCATTGCTGTTAAACTAGTACTTTGTTAGTTTTTCCAACTAATTATTCTTGATTAGCTGTGTGGAATTCACTTGTTCTATTGCATAGTATGTAAGCCTTTAGTTTTATCTAAGTCCACAGAAAGGACCTATGTACCAATGCACAGCACTGATAGTTAAGACTTGGAATGTGTTGCAATGGCATATTGTTGATAAAGCTAAATGTAACTTGATCCAGACATCAGATGAGAGTTTGAGGAAACAGATGTCATTGCTAACATTTGCTTTTTGTAGACTACATAAATCACTTAACTAAGAATGGCTCTGTAAAGGAGAACAAATCCACTTTTTACAGAGTGCTTAAAATAATTTCATATTAGTTTGATTTGTGAACTAAGCATTCCTCTATATAAGATAATCCAGTTGTCTCTTAACCTGAATATTCTTATTTTTATTGTGTTTATAGGACAATTGGACAGCCATTACTGTCATGTGCATTGTATTTGCAGGTTCATCGGTTGGTGGTTGTGAATGAAACTGATACTATTGTTGGTATCATCTCCCTCTCTGACATCCTCCAAGCATTAGTGCTTACACCAACAGGTATGTGTTCAGCATTTAAGTAGTAAGTATTTTCTCTAGCAACATGACAAGTATTTTACATTGCTTTTATCTTTTTAACAACTTCTAAAACATAGGCAGACTATGAAAGGACTCCCGATTGAAATTGAAGATCATGAATAAGGATATTTTTATGCTTGTGCTTCTCAAATGTAGTAATAATTCATTTTAAACCAGCATATTTTTTAGAAATAATCCTCCAACTTTAAAAAAAATCCTTAAAACTTGGTCCAGATACAGTTATAAAAGTAGGAATCTCATTTCCAATTTCTAATTGGCTGAGTTCTAGGTTTAGAATCCAGTGGTCCTCCAGTGGTTAAGACACCAGACTAGATACCAGGTGAGTTCTAGTCCTGCCTTAGGTGTGAAAACCAACTAGGTGACTTTGGACCAATCACTCTCTCAGGCCAGCTCACGTCACAGGGCTGCTGTGGGGAAAGTAGGAGGAGGAATGAGTATTAGGTAAGTTTATTTTTATTTATTTATTAAGTTTATATGTCACCCACTTCACAATTGAGCAATCTTCATGTTTGCCACCTTGACTTGTTTACAAACATATAAGAAAGGTAGGACTAAAAATACCTTAAAAAATAATATGGGCGAGTAAGTTCTTACATGCAGTTTGTACACTGAGATTTTTAAAACATTACAAGTGAACAAGGAAATTATTATTGTTATTAAGTACATTCTAGTTGTACTAGAAGTTTAAAAGTATATTGTAGACTAGAAATATTTTAGCTGATCTAAATATGCATTAAAAAGTTTTTTGACAGAATACATAAGGGATTTTGAAATAAATTATGAAGTTGTAAGTAGATATTTATAGAGGCCTGGCTTATACAGTGCATTCAGATAGTGTTCAAACTCCCTTATCAATTTTGTCTAACTCTATAGTTATTGAAATTCATTTTTTTCTCATTACACTCAATATCCCATAATGCCAAAGTGAAAATAGAATTTTAGAAATGTCTTGTAAATGTATTTTTAAAAACCTGAAACACATTGGCATAAATATTCAGATCTTTCATTCAGTTCAACCTGGGGTGGAATTCAAATGTTTTAACAACCGGTTCTGTGGGCATGGCTTAGTTGGTGGGCGTGGCTTGGTGGTCATGTGACTAGGTGGCCATGGCTTGGTCATGTTACTGGCTGGGCGTGGCTAACTCAACATCACTCACATCGAGGCATGCATCTCCTCGCCTGGCCTCTCGTGACTGTGGGGATGCTGCAACAGTCGTAAGTGTGAAAAACGGTCATAAGTCTTTTTTTAAATGGTCACTCCACACAAGCGAAGTACCAGCAAAGGAGGGGGAAAAAAACTCCAGGGAAATTCCAGAGACAGGAAGTCTAGTCCTGTCAAGAATGGAATAAGGGTTAATGGAGAGGCAGTTTCTGTAAGCAACACCAGAATGTTTCCTTCCTGCCTTCCTTACAGGGTTAGGCCAGTAATTTCTTCTAACCACCGGTTCTCCGAACTGGTTAGAATGGTAACAACTGGTTCTAGTGTATAGGTGTGAACCGGTAGAATCCCCCCCCCCCCTGAGTTCAACTTTGTTGAAGCACCTTTGTCAGCAATTTCAACCTCGAGTCTTTTGGGGTATGATGCAACCAACTTTGCACACCTAGATGAGGGATTTTCTGCCATTCTTCCTTGCAAATCCTCTGCAGCTCAGTTAGGTTGGATGGTGACCATCGATGGACAGCCATTTTCAGGTCTCTCCAGAGATGTTCAATAGGGTTCAAGTCAGGGCTTTGGCTGGGCCACTCTCGGATATTCACAGTTGTCCCTAAGCCGCTCCTGTGTTGTCTTGGCTGTGTGCTTAGGATCATTGTCATGTTGGAAAGTGAACCGTTGGCCCAGTCTGAGATCTTGGGTGCTGTGAAGCAGCTTTTCATTGAGGATATCCCTGTGCTATGCTCCATTCAGTTTTCCTTTAATCCTGATTGGTCTCCAAGTCTCTGCTGCTGAAAAATACTCCCACAGCATGATATTGCCATCAATGCTTTACTGTTGGGATGGTATTGGGGAGGTGATGAGTGTTGCCTCCAGATACAACATTTAGAATTGAGGCCAAACAGTTCAATCTTCGTTTCATTAGATCAGAGAATCTTGTTCCTCACAGTCTGAGAGTCCTTCAGGTGCTTTTTTGCAGATTCCAAGCAGGCTTTCATGTGTTTTGCACTGAGGAGTGGCTTCCATCTAGCCATAAAGCCCTGATCAGTGGAGGGCTCTTGGTCACATCTCTTACTAAGGACCTTCTCTCCCAATTGCTCAGCTTGATTAAGTGGCCAGCTCTTGGAAGAGACCTGATTTTGTCAAACGTCTTCCATTTAAGAATTACGGAAGCTACTATGCTCTTAGGAACCTTCAGTGCAGCAGATATTTAATTGTAGCCTTTCCCAGATCTGTGCCTTGCAATAATCCTGTCTCTGAGCTCTGCAGGCAGTTCCTTCGATCTCATGGCTTTTGCTCTGTTACAGTATGAATTTTCAACTGTAGAGAGATTTGTGCCTTTCCAAATCATGTCCAATCAATTTAACATACAGTAAGTTGACTCCAGATCAAGATGTAGAAACACGTCAATGATAGAAATGGGAGGTACGTGAGCTAAATTTCAAATGTTTCTGAATGTATATAAGCCTTTATATAGAAAGAGTAAAAGTGCGAATAGCACTGGGCTGAACAAGACAGTGCTAGCCCTAATCCATCTGTGCAGAGATCCTTAGCCCTGTGACATAAGTGTGGCATTATCTTGAAATAGGCTCAGGTTAATAGGTGTAGTCTGTATTTCTTAACAGGGAATAGCACGAGACACTAAAGTAACTAATTTCGTGATGTACAGTAGGAGTAAAAAAGAGGGGAAATAATCCTAACACAGATCACAAGAGAAACATATTTTTAAAAGAAACTATGAGAAAGAAAGCTGTAAATGGGAAAATACCACTTGTTATACAGAGATGCCAGAGAATGAACTATTTGCTATTTATTAACAGGCGCCCGGCAAAAGGAGAGTGGAACTGAATGACTGCTTTGAACAGAACCACCTTGGAAAGAAGAATTCGAATAAAGTGGCTGGGTCATCATTGCCTCAAGAACATTGATGGCAGTAGAGAAGAGTCAAGTGATGATGAGAATGTGTGTGTATTAGGCTAAGTGATGGATAGTCTATTATTTCCCAGTGACTGTCGCAAAACAAGCAGCATGACAAAAAGCTTCTGTATTTAATGCAGGCTTGCATTTCAACATGTTTGCCAAAAGATTTCACCTGATATCCATCTCAAATGCACTGGAAAAGAATAGCATTTAATGTTATGTTTTAATCTGATGCAAGTCATTGGTCAGCAACAGATCTCCGACATAAGGCAAGTGTATGGCATATTCATATCAGAGTGCCTTATGTCAAAAAGCCAACAATATGTCATCACTGTTGCCCATCATAGTAAAAGAACGTGCTCTGCGAAACAAGACACTGTATTGAAAATTCAAATCGCTAAGCCTAAAACCAAATCAATTTCAATTATCATTAGATTTGTTCTAAAAGCTGTAATTTAAATATCAGTAGATTACTTTAAACTTTAATTACAACTGTGTGTTTCTAAATGTTACATTCTGAACAGAGACGGTAAACAAAACTGATTAAAAGCAGCTTTATTTATTTTTATTTCTGCAATTTTTACACATCTTTGGTGGATAGTTAAACTTCACCATATTCATTAATAAAGCATTGATTCGTATGTAAGAAGCAAATCTCTCATTACTGAAACAGGTGATAGAAGCCATCTTTACAGATGCATTACACAAAAGGTTGAGAAATTTTTTATTAGCTGTATTGCTACCCAACATGTTTTGTTTTTCCACAAAAGAGAAATCTTATAGTTGTTTCCTAAATGAATAAAGTGTGTTTAAAATGCCAGAAGGTAAGAATATAGTGCTAGAAATCTATCTTATCTACTAAAACTCTTCTTTACTGTAAACTTTAACTGGGCAAAATGGTGCATCATAGGAGAACAATTTTTGAAACAAGGTACCTCAAATGGTCTAATTTACAGAAAATGTCCGTAATCTGGGATCCATGATTCCTGGCGGAATGAGATTAGGGAAAGTTGTGGTTTCTTCAGCTCTGGTCATATGATGCTCATTTTGAACAGTTATTTGAAATCAGTGAAAAATTCCCAGCTACTTTAATATTCCAGGTGTTTAAAAAATATAGACAATTTGAAGTCCAAAAAACATGGAAGCACAAATTCACTGCAGGGTTAGTTTATTTTTTTTTTTAAATTATCAGTATGGAATTTTTCTAAAATATTGAATGAGGGAAATTTTACATTGCTTAAGAGCACATTGTTAACAACTTCTTGAAAGGCAGGAAAATTTCAGACAGAGTTAAAGCTTGCTTAATTTTGTTGAACCAGATGCTTGGCTTTTAGATTAAAACTATACAGACTAAAAATGTGCACTGATGGAAGAAAACAATCTGGAAAAAACACCCATCTGCCCTGTTTGACCATGCTTTAAATAAAAGCAGAATTCAAATTGAGGTGTGCAGATGTACACAATTTGCTGGTGAGAACATTTTATTTCACAATGTAATCTTTTTCATAGGATAATTCTTCAAGCTCATTTGCACTTGCCCAACTCCAACATTCCTTTCTCAGGGTATGATGACCTGAAGCGAACACAACATTCAACCTGTCAGCTAGTTTCTGCTCCTTTTCTCATGACACCAATCATTTGCCATTTTTTCTCCAGCAAGCACCGCTTTCTTGGTCATTCAGTAGTAACTCAGCAAATATGTACATAATTTTTTTCCCCCTACTGTTAACTACTTTTGCCATTTTCATACCCATTCTAGGCATATCTTCAATGCAGATCTCTTTAATGACCAGTGCTGTGACCTAGAGGTAAAGCTTTTGCCTCACAGTCAGGAGGCTGTGAATTTGATCCTAGGTAGAGGCTGATATTTGGAACAGACTCTCCTGCTTGAGCAGGGGGTTGGACTAGAAGACCTCCAAGGTCCCTTCCAACTCTGTTATTCTATTCTAATGTCTCCTTTAAAAAACGCAGTACCTTGCTATTGGTACAAACAACACCTGAAATTTTTTAAGCTGATATCTTTCAAATTTATCCTCTATTATATGGCTGGATTCTTTCAAGCATTACATAAACAATCTGGCAAGTGCTAAAAATTTAATGTTCTACATTATGCTGCAGTATTTCTCAACCTTGATAATTTTCATAAGTGCGGACTTCAGTTCCCAGAGTTCTTCGGGAGGCTGGCAAGGGAATTTTAGTAGTTGAAATGCACATGAAGTCCACCAAGATTGAGAAATTGGTACAATTAAGCAGAAACTAATCCCAGCAACGTATTCAAACATGATTGTGTTTTCAGCACATGAATGATTCGTTGAATGAAGGTTGAAAATATGTTTTTTACTAACAAGAGCCTACATTTTTACTCTCCCTGGCGTGTACTCAAGATACAATGTACACCCGCGTTCAGGAAGAAAGGTAAAACTGCCATTATCCAAAGAAACACGAGGAAGCAGGGTTGGTTATGAAGGGGTTGCAACTGAATTAAACTTCCTGGTTTGCTAAATCTGTCTGACAGCTGCGTTCTGCCTATTTTGCATCCCACCTGCTCCAGCTTCAGCTGCTAACTGCACATGTGGGTGTTTTTGTTTTTTTTTAATAAAATGATGGAACCGAGCCGAGTATGCAACTTGCTGAGCAGAAAAACCTGATGCGATGGCTGCTGAGGGAAGAAAAACAGTTGTGTCCTTCTACATGTAGACCCCTGCAAGTCTGGATCAAGGGGAATCCCCTCTCCATCCTCAGCATCTTGAGACCTGGAGACCACAATTCTCCATGCTGGGCTGCACGTGGAACCATCGCTAGATGGCGATAGAGCAGTTTGGAAATCAACCTCTGGCGAGACAAAAATATGCACAAACACGTGGAGGAAGAAAATAGAGAAAAGTGAATTACTTAGAGAGACTGGGTATAAAGGAAGAGGCATACGTGTAGCCACATTCTTACTTCTGTTTATTTCCTTTTGTCCAATGTTTGTCAACCTTGACAGCTTGAAGATATATGGGCAAACTCCCAGAGTTCCCCAGCAGCAGGCTGGCTGAGGGTTTCTGGGAATCTAAGTCCACATATCTTAACATTGCTACAGTTGAGAAACATTGGTCTAAAGGTAGACAAGTATGTTATCCAGCACAGAACATTACAAATCACATTGATTCAACTGTATCTACAGGAAGATCAAAATCTGCAAGTTGGTGCTGTGTTGAGATACAAGACCTGGCCCTTTTGTACATTGGTCTTGCAAATTTTGATCCTGCTTTTCAGAGCTGATTTGATCTGTTCCTGGAGCTTTGATCTAATTGGCTGGAATTTCTATAGCTCTATAGATCTTGTGAGCTTTTTGATTTTGTAGGGGCATGAACCCTTAATTCCATTTCAGGGTCTCATAGGTTATGGTCAAGATGGCCACAATGGTGCAATCAAAGCTCTTCCCAATATTTACATGCATTTTAAAAATCTGAATGTGCAGAACTTTGAGTGTACTGTTTTGACTGACATCTTGATTTTTTTGACCGTATCTTGTAGGCACCCCTGCTTACCCACAATTATTTCTCCACTGCCCTCAAAGATATGCAGCAACCTGTTCATGTGGCTTGCCTCTTTCTGTGTGCATTGATTGGAATATATTCCCAACCTCTGAAATCCCTGTGTCATAACAGGAAGTAGGATCTACTATTAGAGAAAACCCCTAGTTGCTCACAGAAACTTGCAAATGGCCCTTATATATTTTACCAAAAGAAAGTACCGTTATTATATCCACCTGGCCCACCAGGGACAGGAAGGCAAGGTATGTTACAGGTCCCATCAATTAGGGATGTACCTCTGGTGGGACTGCAAAAAAAGAACCACCTCAGTGATGACCCCCTATGGAAGATCATTCTACCTGAGGAAGTTGGCTCCCACATGTGTGTTTGCTTATTTATCTTACCACCAGGTAACTGGGCAGCTTACAATATTAAAAAGATAAAACTATACAATTTTACCATACAATTTATTAAAAATATAATACTAAATGTTCCTTTTCCATAAGGCTCTAAATTGTGTTTGGTCAGTGGTACTAGAGATCATGTATGGAGATGAAGCCAAATAAGTTGATTTAATTGTGTGGCTGCTGCCATGGGTGGGCTGCAATTTTTAACAGGCTTTTATATTGTGATTTTTAATGTTGAGAGCTGTTTATGAGTTGCATGGCCATATAAATTTGTTTAATTAATTAGATTAGATATTGTAATATCTTTAGGGTAGATGTAGAAGATGACCAGGCTGTGCCCAAGGGCAGGGTCAAATTTATCATCATTCTGGAGTCTCTGCCCTTGAATGAGACCTAAGTCCAGCCACCCTTGAAGTTTGTTGACTCTTATCTGGCGCCAATTTGCCTTGACTGTACATCAGATTCTTGTGTATAGTTGCATGGAATAAACTCAGAGCTTTTGAACTCTATCTTGGTTCCTAGTTTCTTGCGCCTGACAATAGATCCATGAATGACATTGGTTGGTCTCTGCACCTCTGTACATAGATAACTCATTCTCCATTATTTTGCCCACATAGTTCCAGTCTCTGGACATTTAGCCGCTATCCAGACAAAAGAATCTGAAGCCTTTAAAAAGAACTGATTCTTTAAAAAAAAAACTGAAAAAGAAGCAACCTGAGAAGTTACAAGCAGTTCAGCCTTTCTTTGCCTCTGTAAAGTCAACAGTAGACTCGCCAATCTCTGCTTTCCCGACGTCGTCACTGTAGTACAATCCAAGTGACATTTTGAAGCAGGCTTACTTCACAGGAAATGGAGAACAATTTACAGTGCAGTGATTTTGAACAAATGTTTCTTTCTCCACCCCCACCCCCCTCTTCTGACATTTTGCTCAGAATGCTGTTTGCTTAAAGGCCGGCCAAGAGAACGTGTATGTTTTCGATGTGCTGTTAAAAAGGGCACAGAATGCATGATGGGGTTTGTTCAGGGAACTGAACCTCAAGAGCATTTGAGGGCTGTGTCTATAACCTCTTTTCTTTCACCTGGGATTGCGACCTCTGAAGATGCATTCCCGATTGCAAGCTTCAGTAGAAGCATTCCTACTTTCCAAAAAGATCATCTCTGAGCTGACTTATCAGTAAACGAAGCAAAATTGTTGGGGAGCACAGTACATGTGAATCCTTAACTTACAACCATTAATTTAGTGACTGTTCAAAGTTACAGTGGCACTGGAAAAAGTGACTTACAACTGGTCTTCACACTAACATCCATTGCAGTACCTCGACATTCACACGATCAAAATTGCCCCAGAGTTACGTTTGGCATTTTTTGCAACCTTCCCAGTCAGCTTCCAACAAGCAAAGTCAAGGGGGAAACCTTAACCCCAGGATTCAGTTAATGACACCAATGATACAGAACAACTGTTGTAAAGTTGTCACATATGGTGAAAGTCATGTTTTACGAGCATCTTGCTAAGCAATAGAAATTCTGACCCCGATTGGGGTCATAAATAGTCCTTCCATGTAATGGGCTCCCTGTCTTTCAGCTGCCTTTTTCCCATCCAAATCTGCAAACTGAAAGCAATGCTATTTTTGCTTCTTCCCTCA